ATCGCATGGGTCATATTGCATCTTCCCAAACTATTTGTAGATGGATTCAACAATTTATTTCTGAATGTTACATGTTAGCAGAAATTCCTGTACAATTGCTTTCCCGCAGAGTTGTGGCAGGATCTTTTGCTTGCCTGCTTGCCCTGTTACTGATATTTGCAGGGCTGCAACCTGGAGTTCTGTACATATCATTTTGAACTGTTGTGTCACAAGTGGATACTTTAAAATATTGCAGTAAATGTCCTGAGAGCATTGTTAGGGTTATTAAGTGTGTTCAAGCATTCTTCGTTGTCTGGGCAATTAGACCTTTCTGAGCTTTTTTTCGTATTGCAGAGTAATTGCACAAAAGGAGGGTCCTGCCTTTTCCAGACCATAGGGTTGGAGAGGAGCCTTGGACTAGGGGTTTCTCAGGAGTATAACATGGGGGCTTCTTATAGAGTGTTTCAAGCATTTGGGTATGAGAGAGTCCTGGAGAGTGAGACACACAGACCCGTTCTAAGATGGGGCAGCAGCCCTTACCTGAGGTTTCTTCAAGAGGAAAGGTTGCCTGTGTGCAGTTAGTTGCTACCTCAGTTTGAGGAAATGGTACATTTCGTAAATAAACAAAACAGACAAAGTTGATACCTGACTCTGTGTTGCATAAATCTCCTCCAGGCCTCAAAAATTCCTCCCCTGGGCAAAGGGCGACAATATATTTATTTTAAAAGAAAAAGAATATGAAAACCATCTCATAGAATCATAGAATCATAGAATATAAGGGTTGGAAGGGACCCCAGAAGGTCATCTAGTCCAACCCCCTGCTCAAAGCAGGACCAATTCCCAGTTAAATCATCCCAGCCAGGGCTTTGTCAAGCCTGACCTTAAAAACCTCTAAGGAAGGAGATTCTACCACCTCCCTAGGTAACGCATTCCAGTGTTTCACCACCCTCATAGTGAAAAAGTTTTTCCTAATATCCAATCTAAACCTCCCCCACTGCAGCTTGAGACCATTACTCCTCGTTCTGTCATCTGATACCATTGAGAACAGTCTAGAGCCATCCTCTTTGGAACCCCCTTTCAGGTAGTTGAAAACAGCTATCAAATCCCCCCTCATTCTTCTCTTCTGCAGGCTAAACAATCCCAGCTCCCTCAGCCTCTCCTCATAACTCATGTGTTCCAGACCCCTAATCATTTTTGTTGCCCTTCGCTGGACTCTCTCCAATTTATCCACATCCTTCTTGAAGTGTGGGGCCCAAAACTGGACACAGTACTCCAGATGAGGCCTCACCAATGTCGAATAGAGGGGAACGATCACGTCCCTCGATCTGCTCGCTATGCCCCTACTTATACAGTTCTACAGTTTGGGTGTGATGTTGAAAAGTGGATGAAAATGTGGTAGCCAGAAAAGGATACTGATTGATTAAGGCAAAAGGCTTCAGACTTCCCACCAGCAGGTTGTTTACTGCCTGACTAAAGGCGAGATAGTGAGCTCTACTATTACTGCTTCATTTTGTTTGATGGAAAATTATTTTTGCCTTTGTTAAAATGGAAACAGCAGTTTGGGATTAATATGATCCCATTGTAATTAGATGCAGATTGGCTGTTAGACTTCAAGAGCGGGAGGAAGGAAACCAATCACACTTCCTGTCCATAGAGACACATCACTACATACAGAGCGACTGCAGCAATGATGGGTCTACAACAATGGCATGTTAGTTTTATTAACCCTTTGAGAGCTCTGGGGGATACCGTGTTAAATACAACAAACTGGGACTTAACTGATACTCGTGACTACCGCTGTACAGTACAAAATTATGTCCAAAGGAAAACAAGAACTTTTTCAAAAAGTACAGTCAGGGACACATAAGAAGGTGCAGGAAACATGTTAAAGGTCTCAAGACAATAAAATAGAACAAATGAGGTAAGTGAGTTCTCAGAATTGTAGCACTGCACAACTTTGGTAGGAATCCATCCTAGATAACAGTACATGATGTGTAAAGTTTTAAACTTTGAGCCTCTTTATCTTTTCCTCTCTGTCATCTTCTGTTGTTTGCTTTAATAAGGTAAAGATGCACAGGATGTGATTTGTCTTGGTATACATTAAATAAATCCTGTGTTAGTGGAGGTTTCCGTTGGTTTGTGAAGACACTGCTTAAAGGGAAATTGGAAGGCCAGATAATTGTGAAACCAGTATTGGTAACTGGTTGCTTTATTGATAGTAATTTCATTGGGTACTTATCTGGTAGTTTAAGCATCTCTGTCTCCTAAATTCTAATTACATTGTTTTTATAAAGGGCATTAATAAATTGTGGCTGGCCCTGCTCAAATGTGCAAAAAAGGAAGGGTTGAGGTGAGCGTGGGATCATGGTACACCAGCTATCTCCCTTCATTCACTACTAAACTTCACACCAGAGTGCACACTGCATGTGTGTGCTGTTTCTGCAGGACAGCCCTCCCTCAGAACAGTGAGTGGCCTTTAAGAACAATTTAGCCCTTATATGTGGAATTAGATTAGATTTTAGATTAATTAGATTTTCAGTATCTTTGAAACTGCTATGTTTTTCAGGCATACACTGGGGTATTTGGGGAACATGGAGCTCTTTAAGCTTCTAAATTATTGTGAAAGGCATTTTAAAGATAATTTATGATGTTTTTCTATGCTAGCCAGTGAAAATGTATGCTTAACACAGCTCATATTAGCTTACTCTGTTGTTCAAAAGTGTTTAATTCAAGTATAATCAAACTGACTAGTATCACTGTTACCTAAATGGTTGTGGAGTAACAGCCGTGTTAGTCTGTATTCGCAAAAAGAAAAGGAGTACTTGTGGCACCTTAGAGACTAACCAATTTATTTGAGCATAAGCTGAAGTGAGCTGTAGCTCACGAAAGCTTATGCTCAAATAAATTGGTTAGTCTCTAAGGTGCCACAAGTACTCCTTTTCTTTTTGCTAAATGGTTGTGGAGAGGCAGTGCATAAAGAGGTACTATCTGATATTCCAAATAACTTTACTACTTAAAAACCAATTTCATGGCACCAAATATTTTACCTATCCTTTTAACCTAGTTTTTAAAATAATTTTAATAAGATTTTTAAGTTTTATTTGAATGCTCTACGTGATAGAGTATAGATCATAAAAGTAAAAAGAGTAAGTGTGTACCTTTTGATATTTTAATAATGCATGCCCTTTTTCACAAATACAGATTTTCTCTGTTTTTTTCCATCTACTGTGATATTTCTGTAGAGCCCTTTATAAAAAATTCAGTTAACCAAGTCATTATCTTGAACTGTGTTTTCATACTCTGAATGAAAGCACTCATTTGAAACTTCCATGATTTAGAGGTTGTCAATCTAGGCTTGTAGCCAGGGGGCTGTTGGTGATTTTCATTCTGTCTTCATGCACAATAATTTTCAAAAATCAAGGGAAGGAATTTTCCAATAAGAATTTTATACTATGAACTAAAAATGTAGGTATAGCCACCCCATCCTCAGTTGTATTAGTGCTGCTGTGTGCCACTCCAATGGCGCGAAGCAGCTCTAAACTCCGCGTAGTGAACCCCAGGAGGATAACCCCGTGTAGTGGGATTCTTGAACGTTGTAGAGCTGCTAGAATAGTTCCTATGACACCTTTTCCTTGACATCACACCCAGAATAGAAACATGACCAGAGAAAGTGACATGGCTGGAGTTCCCCTGCACCCTGGTGCCACCCAGCTGCTATAATGGCCCTGGGGCCAGAAGCAGATGACATGAGTTACAAGGGCTGCCAAGCTGCTGTAACTTGCTTTGGGAAACTGGCCTTTGTGGACAGCTGTCCTAAGATCATTGCTCTTCCTAGCCAAGAAATAAAGCTTTGGGTTTTAGACATTCTCATACTAATTGTATTGATATACCCCAATTGAAGTGTAGGGTCTCTCTCAAACCAGAACCAGCAGGATCATTCAAAAGAAAGAAGCATATTTGCATACAATCACTGAGCAGGTTGTCACAAAGTTCAGTTGATTTATCTATAAAAATCTTTTATATATTTTAATATAATACTATACTTTTATTTCACTCATAAGTTTTACTTTTCTGTACACTCAAAGCTATTGGCCCATCCCTGAAGTTCTTACTGATGTAAACCTCCTATTTAAGAAGTTTTAACACTTTAAAACTCTTCTTAAAGGCATTAGAAGTTTTGCCTGGGTAAGGACTAATGGCTTTTGGATTGTACCATGTACTTGCTATATTTGTATATGTTGTTATGGTCTTTAACATTCTGTACAGCTAGGCTAAAGTAACTCTCAGAGTATGATGCTTTTAATTACTAGTTGCTTGTTTCTGCTTTCAGCTTGTGTTTGCTACATGTACTGAAACATCTCTATTGAGCTGCTCATCTATTGTTACTAATCTGGTCAGCTGATCAATGAAGACTGGCATGTAATTAATTGTAAAATATTTACATGTTCCTTTCAGTATCTGTCTGGAAAGATTTACTTGTTACTGTTTACTGCTGCAGCTGTACTATACAGTTTCAGGAGGCGATAACAAGAAACATTTTTTTTTTGCTGGTTTGTTTAAACAGTTATTTTCAAAGGAAAGCAATATTTAACACAGTATTCCAATTTGCTGCTGACTGTGGACTTGTTTCACATACGTTAAAAATTTTGTATTTTTACAAAACTGTTCAAGACAAAGGAATTAATTGACTCATGGAAAAAGCACAAGTATGATTCTGATTTTATTCAGAAGTCTGGGATCAGCAGAAGAAAATTAAACACAGATCTACTTTTTTTTTAGTCTGTGCATCTGCAAGGACCTCATGCAGTGTGACTATAGTGGGCAATACAGATATAAAAAAAATACCATACAAGATATAGTCAATTGTTTTTTCCTCCTTTTTAATTCTGTCACTCACACAACAAGATTGACCTGCTTTTCTGCTGTTCCTAGAAGATAAGTGATGGTATTTGAGGAAAAGTTGCATCTACCTGACCTATCTGCTATGTTGATATACTTATGCTGTTTTGGTTCTCATGCAGATGGAGGGAGCGAGGAACCACCAGACCGAAGACAGGCAAGTGTAGAATCCCGCCAGAGCCGATCTGGGCAAGGTAATGTTTGTATCATTTTCCTTCAAGAGCTTACTTCTCTTACGTTAGCACTTTGTGCAGTTTTTCTGTTTTGATAAGATATCCAGCTCTTCTGGTTTATTGTAGCTTTTATTGTAATTTAGATATACACAAATTTAATAACCATCAGAAAGGTACAAAATGATCAATTTTAAGGGTTGAAATGAAGCTGGAATCATGTATGGTGCACAATATTCTAGTGGGACCCTTTCAAACAAATACTGTAGTATCTATTAATTTACATATCTGGGTGTCACATCCTCAGTTCCTCAGGCTGTGGACTGGGGATCTTCTTGGGGGCTGGGGGTGAAGGTGTTCTTCCTACTATTCCACAGAGCAGTGGCAGAGGTACTCAGCAGGCACCTATCTTCTGCACCCACTTCTGGAGAGGAGTGCCTGGGTAGTAGCATCTAGTGTGGGCTCTGGAAATCCTGTCCTTCACTGCAATGCAGCAGCAGAACACCATTTCCTTCTGGCAAGTTTCTCCATCCTCCAATGCTGAGGTGGGAGGTCCATGTTGTATTTATGGAGAGCAGCAATAGAGTAAGAGTAGAAAAGAGAATTTGGATCTGTTAAATAATGTTTTAGGTCATTCTCTGGGGCTGTGAAAGTCCTGCTGTTTGGAGCCTTAAATGCAGCTCACCAGCCTACTAAGGCGGCATTCGATAGAAACATGCTTCTCACTGGTAGTATGTTTGCTCATTCACTTTGTGGTTTTCTGCACCAGATTCCAAGATTAATTCTGTTTCACTTTCCTTTTCCTTCCCCAAATCTGTTGTTGCTGTAGAGTCCGAATAGTTTATTGAAGTGATGTTGACTTCAGAGCAATAGTTCTGTTCTTTGGCTGTGTTCCAGTGTTGCCAGCAGAATATTGTATTGGCAAAAGTATTCTGGATGATTGAAGTCTGCAGACAAATTTAGGGGTATGGGTATTTGGAACTAAAACTGTTGAACCCTGTGAAATGGCAACTGTTGATAGAGGTTTGTTGTCTGTAATAGTTTTTTTAATTTGGAATTTTATATCTTAAATAATAAGAATTGAGGCTAGATTAGAAAGAAACAATGAATTCTAATGCGTCTACAAACTCCGACAGCCACATTGCATTCAGAACCAGGTTGCTTTCCTGGACTTTTGTTAGGGAATAAAAGATTAATAATAATAAATGATAACCTGTTCTTTTCAGTCTGCTCTCTATTTATTATACAAAAGCTATTATTGGTAATATTAATTGTAAAAGGAGTATCTAGCCCATTTTCTCTGATTGTGCTCTCTGATGTAGTTTAATTGGCTTAGATTTAAAATATATACAGACATACATATACATAGGTTTAGCTGAAATGCAGATTTCAGAATGTTCTGATTGGACATAACAATCAGGTACTTGATGGTCTGAGGTACTATATTCTTCCAAAGCACATTGCTGAATACTTGCTAGACGTACCTGTGATTCACTGGAAAAGATCTTTTCATGCTGTGGGAAAAATGCTAATCTGTGGGCTGCAGGTATGTTGTTTGCTAGTGTGTACTTGATGAAGAACATTATATACACACACAAAATCATATTAAAAGGTCATTATTAAGGTTGCAAAGTCAAGCACTCAAACATTAGGAAATGCCAGAACTAAGGTGCTTGAGTTTACATGAGCAAAACAATGTATTTTTTACCAGCCTCATTCTTGGAAACAAATGAACTCTTTGGGCTGAAGTTTTCCACTAAACTTCAACCTGAGGCAGACCCTCAGTATAGAAGATTTCAGCCCAGATGGTTAAAGTTTGGCAAAGTTATAAGCTATTGAAAACAAGATCATATAATTATACAATTTTAATAGTAGGCAATGCTGTGAGCCCTGTCTATAATAAAATGGTGAGGGGGAAAAAAAAAGGTGACTCATATAAAGGTAGATGACAGCATATATAAAAATATGTATGTAGAAATGGTTTAGTAATTGAAATGGTCAAGTTTCAGAGTAACAGCCGTGTTAGTCTGTATTCGCAAAAAGAAAAGGAGTACTTGTGGCACCTTAGAGACTAAATAAATTGATTAGTACTCCTTTTCTTTTTGTGAAATGGTCAAGTTAAACAAGATAAAATTTTGGCTTTATCTCTTTCTTTCCCTCCAACACATGGACAGATACATTATTCATAAACTTTCATTTAGGAGTTCTGGAGAAGGCCAGTTTTGTCCAAATAGCATCTTGTTAACCTGCTGATTAAAGTGACTGACCTGTTTCTTATTTGGTACCATTTATACATACTTTAATACGTTAATTTTTAAAATTATTGTTAATCATTTCCTGTTGAACTATGTTAATCATGTATCTATGTAAATGTATATGGTCTTTCACAAACCTATATTGAGTCATTAGACATCTATTTGTTATTTATAAAACAATTGTATTGATGGAAAACCCTGTTTTGTATGCTCATTGTTTGCTGCACACAAGTATGGCATGTGTGTGCAAAAATGTGAGCACGTTTTGAAAACGTAGGCCTTTATTTCCTGAACTCTGCACAGTGATTGTTGTGTAAGTCTAACCATCAGAGGAAGCCCATGAAGTCCCATGAATGGATCAGAAATTAGATGAAAATTTTAAAAATATCCAATTATTTAAGGGCATATTCCCTGTCTCTCCTCCATTCACCTGAAACCACTCAAAGGTTGTGGCTGGAGGAGACAAACCTCGTTTATAAACTGGAATCCCTTCCTTCCTCACTTCACTTTCATGATTCCAATGTTTCTCGCCTCCCTTTCACACCCCTCCTCTATGGGACCCAGCCTCTCTATTCCCCTTCCTCTCATGAGCTGCCTCTATAAGAGTGTCATAAATATAAAGGGAAGGGTAAACCCCTTTGAAATCCCTCCTGGCCAGGGGAAAGCTCCTCTCACCTGTAAAGGGTTAAGAAGCTAAAGGTAACCTCGCTGGCACCTGACCAAAATGACCAATGAGGAGACAAGATACTTTCAAAAGCTGGGAGGGGGGAGAGGGACAAAGGGTCTGTCTGTGTGCTGCTCTTGCCAGAGACAGAACAGGAATGGAGTCTTAGAACTTTTAGTAAGTAATCTAGCTAGGTATGTGTTAGATTATGATTTCTTTAAATAGCTGAGAAAAGAATTGTGCTGAATAGAATAACTATTTCTGTCTGTGTATCTTTTTTGTAACTTAAGGTTTTGCCTAGAGGGGTTCTCTATGTTTTTGAATCTAATTACCCTGTAAGATATCTACCATCCTGATTTTACAGGGGGGATTTCTTTATTTCTATTTACTGCTATTTTTATTAAAAATCTTCTTGTAAAACACTGAATGCTTTTTCATTGTTCTCAGATCCAAGGGTTTGGGTCTGTGGTCACCTATGCAAATTGGTGAGGCTTTTTATCCAACATTTCCCAGGAAAGGGGGGGTGCAAGTGTTGGGAGGATTGTTCATTGTTCTTAAGATCCAAGGGTCTGGGTCTGTAGTCACCTAGGCAAATTGGTGAGGCTTTTTACCAAACCTTGTCCAGGAAGTGGGGTGCAAGGTTTTGGGGAAGTATTTTGGGGGGAAAGACGCGTCCAAACAGCTCTTCCCCAGTAACCAGTATTAGTTTGGTGGTGGTAGCGGCCATTCCAAGGATAACGGGTGTAATATTTTGTACCTTGGGGAAGTTTTGACCTAAGCTGGTAAAGATAAGCTTAGGGGGTTTTTTCATGCAGGTCCCCACATCTGTACCCTAGAGTTCAGAGTGGGGGAGGAACCTTGACATGGTGGCACAGTGGTGGGATTAACCTGAAATCATTGGAGATCCAGTTGAGATTTTTTGAACTAGAAATACAGATTTTAAAAAGGAAATTTTTTTTTCTTTGGAAAGAAAGTCCAGAAAGCAGCTTTGAAACTGAAAGCAGCTTGGTTTCTCTCTGCTTTGTGGCCAAGCAGAGACAAAAGGGGATTATCTTGTGAATTGCAGGTTTTCTTTGCCTGGATGCAGGGTACTTAACTCCTGCAGGGAACTTCACAGTCTTCCAACCCAGAGGTGTTTTTCTTTCTTTTCTTCCTAAAAGTAAATAGGGGGTGTGTGTTCTACCCATTTGCTTTTTCTTTGGGCTGGGTAAGCAGGTTTCCAAGCAGTTGGAGGTTTTTTGCTTTAATTTGGGCCCAGAGCAGAGACAAGGGAATTGTCTTTTTCTGTAGGCTGACAATCACTATCAGAGAATAGGTATTCTATTCAGCACAATTCTTTTCTCAGCTATTTAAAGAAATCATAATCTAACACATACCTAGCTAGATTACTTACTAAAAGTTCTAAGACTCCATTCCTGTTCTGTCTCTGGCAAGAGCAGCACACAGACAGACCCTTTGTCCCTCTCCCCCCTCCCAGCTTTTGAAAGTATCTTGTCTCCTCATTGGTCATTTTGGTCAGGTGCCAGCGAGGTTACCTTTAGCTTCTTAACCCTTTACAGGTGAGAGGAGCTTTCCCCTGGCCAGGAGGGATTTCAAAGGGGTTTACCCTTCCCTTTATATTTATGACAAAGAGGTTCCCTCATTTCAAATCCAGGTAGTATCTTCTCATTCCACCTTTTAATATTTTTCAGCCTGCTGAGGCCCATAGTGCAATTCAGTGTGTGACAAAGACCCAAAATGAAAGATGCACACAAATTATTTTATGTTGTAAACTTAAGATGCCATTAGTGTAAATGGCTCTTACTTATCTAGCCGCAGTTTCATGATTCTGTTTCTGAAGTACATAATTTTGAAACCACACATATGAAGGGGACACCAAATTTCTGTGGAAACTAAGATAACTTTGAGACTAAAAGAAGTGATGTCCTTTGAAATGAGGAACAATTGAGACATATAGAATTGCCAACCTCAGGAGATCAAAAATCATGAATCAGATCCCCAATAAAAGTGAAATATGGCTCCAAAAGAATGAGATTTATTTTTTAAGAAATAATACATTGTGTTTTTGGTCTGACTGTTGATTTTTGAGCTCTTCTGACCATTCC